GTGCCTGGCGCACAGTAGGTGCTCAGTCCCCAGAGGCCAGCCTGGTGCCTGGCGCACAGTAGGTGCTGCTCAATAAACCTTGCTGTCCACGGTGGCCATACCTTGTCAAAGACCCTGTCGTGCAGCAAGGAGGATGCCATCAGTGTGGTCTTGGTGAAGGTAAAGCCTTTGACAATGCTGAACACGAGCATGGACAGCATGCTCGAGGCATACACCCACTGGTACACGTGCTGCCCGATGTCGGCCAGGACCTTGCCCACCTCACACGCTGTCTTGTTGCCCTGAGATCCACAGCTTATCTTTAGGGGAAAAAGAGAGAGAAAAGGAAGCACCAAGAATCGGTAAATGGTCAAGGAAATAAAAATTTTCCAGAGGAAGAAAACTAAAAAGAAATATGTAATCACTGAAAATGAGTCAGGTGGGTAAAATCACATGAGTTTCCTTTGGGGGCCTCTGAGCTTCGTGTAGTCCCTCCTGGTGGCTCCCATGACCCCAGAAGGACCACACGCCCCCAGCACCATAAGCTCAGCAAGTTCAGTGGGAAGACAGAGCCGACTAGCCAGGCGGACGCAGGGCAGCTGCCCAGAGACCAGAAGTCCTCTGGACTAGGTGGGAATCTGAGTTCCAAGAGGCTGGCTGAGCAGCAGAGGCAGCGCCAGGCCAGAAGAAAAGCTGGGACCAGCTTCCACCATGCTGAGCTGGGCTGGGCTGAGCTGAGTTGTCTGGCAGCAGCCACCAGGTCTTTGGGGAGACTCGGGGGCTTCTCCGTGCAGTGGGCCAGCCCCACAGCCCCTCCCCTTTCCTCAAGGAGCAGTAGGAGAGACATCAGAACATTGCCTGAAGCACCAGGTGGGGAGGAGGGAGCCTAGCAAGCCCCAGCCCCCACCCAGGCTCTCAGAGGACCTGAAGAAACTGTGGCTCCTTCCCGCCCTTGTCAGAACACACAACCTGGCCAGCATTTCTGGAGAGAGGCCCTCCCTTCCCCCTGAGAAACTGGCAGTTTCGTTTTGCTCTAGGCTGTGTGTGAAAAGTCAGGGCTCCCTTTGGGAAGAAAACAAGCATCTTTTTTCTAAATGCCATTTTGCTGTTTACAGTAATAGCAGAAGTGTAAACCAGAGGTGGCTGATGGATGAACATCCCTAAAACCAAAAGCATCCCTGGGGGCTGAGCTGAGACAAGGCCCAGCTTGAAGGGGAGGCTTTTCTGGGCTGGGGTTGAGCCCATGGCACTGGAGACAAGCACCTGGGTTGGCCACTGTGCTGTGTGCTCAGACGGGGCAGCTGGCCTGCAGGGGAGCAGCAAGCCTTGGAGCAGGCTTCCCCCAGCCCTCAACTTGGCTCTGCAAGGGAAGGCTCTTCAGGACCGAGTGAGGACTTAGGAGATTTCTACACAAAGCGGGCCACCTTTTATTGCACCCCTTGGGAATGGCCTCAGACAGCTGTGCCAAACAGCCTTTCCCCTGCCCGTCTCCCAGTGCCCAGTGCCCTAGTGTGTAGTGACAGCACTGTACCAAACGTCATCACAGAGGATGGGCAGGTGCCCCTACAGCAACCTCTGCAGCTTCAGAAAAGCTTTGAAACCCCAGGCCAAAAGCTAGGGGAGCTGCCAGCAAGCTGGAGGGAGAGCAAACTCTTCCCAGGAGGGCCCTGCAGAGAAAGGCCCCAGCGGTTCTGCGGCATTTGCAGGCCTGAGTCTAACATTGCACCTCCCCTGACTTTGAGGAACAGAGTCATGTGGAACCTTCCGGCACCGGCCAGTGCCAACAACAAGATGCCAGCTTCTCTTCAGAGGCTGGAAGACACAAGTCTCTGCTAGGCCTCCCTGGAGGAGACGCACAGCAGAGGCTGAGACTGTCTCCGTGCTACACACGCTGGACCCTCAGGTGCACTGTGGCACATGTCTTTATCAGCCACCCCTTGAAAATCTGAATGTGACATCCAAAAATACAGATGTCTGCTTGTCTCAAAAAGTTGAAGGGGATTTCAGTGGCTTGAGTCACATGGTGTAAGCAACTGACCTCAACTTCTTGCAGAGAGACGCCAATAAGCTCATTGTGTGGTGCTGGGTGCACCCAGAATTTCCACTGCTGGAAATTTCTGTTCCTAGACACAGACTCAACATGTTCCAACACCAAAGTGGAACTCACCTGTGATCCCTTGTCTAACCAGAGAACCAGCCACCAGTTGCCGAAGGCGGAGCTGCCAATCATGAGGAGGAAGAGGGCCACTGTGAAGAGAGAAAGGAGGTACCCTGCAAAGAGGAGGGGGGCCACTGTGAAGAGAGAAAGGAGGTACCCTGCAAAGGGGGGGGCACTGTGAAGAGAGAAGGGAGGTACCCTGCAAAGAGGAGGGGGGCCACTGTGAAGAGAGAAGGGAGGTACCCTGCAAAG